CAGTGGTTATTTAAGTCAGTAATGTTGCATATTTACCAACACTTAGCTGCCCGTCTGCTGCTTAGAAGCACACACACACACACACACACAAAAAAAAAGTAATGAAAATATCTGAAACACTGAAATTTCATTTCAGACAGGCATTCATGGTTTCGAATAACATCACTTTTGCGTGTCCTCGGACGGCGTTATCTGAGCATTGCTCAGCTGTTCCGTTCTCATCCTTTTTAGATAACATAAACAAATTTTTTGCTGTTTACTGATAATAAGATTTTAAATGTGTGTTTATATTTCCTTTAAAAAAAGTGAATTGAGGAATCTTAATAATATTATCAATTAAAATAAAAGATTTTTAAATTGCTAATATGGTAGGAGTTTCATGTTATAAATAATGCCATAAGTGTTAGTTTTTATTTAACACTTTTTAAAGTACATTATAGTAATGATAAAATTTTTTTTTTTTTTTTTTTGTATGTGCAGTGTGTGTGTGCTGTATGTGGCAAAATAATGTTCTGTAAATATTTGTCTAGAACCAAAATATTTAAAAAAAAATTTTAATTTTTTTTATTTCTAATGATAAAGATTGCAAAGATAACTTCACTAGTATAAGGTTAAATAGAGAAAATACAAACATATATAATACACGAAGTCACATATAACAATATATATTTCCAAAAAGAGATTTCGAAAAAACGTTTCACTTTTCTCTTGTATAAGTATTAATATATGTATATCATGGTTAATTGAAAGTTGTGAGTGTGCAGGTTGGGCAACCTGTAACTGGAAACTGGGGTTGGGTTGAAATACATAAGGCACAGAGTAGAGAACTCGCAACTTTATTTACACTTATATAATTAGAGAATACAATATTTACCACATTTAAAGACAGATAATTATGGATTTGTGGAAAAAGTATCCACTTTTAAGCCGAATACCCGAAACTCGGCTACGCGCAGGGGACGCTAAATATATTTGCTCTCGGGATGAGAGACTATAAGTCAAACGTTTCTCAGCTGGAGATCAGATTGTGCTGTACTTCCTCTGTGGGTGACAGTCTCGAAATAATTCCTTCTGCACGTCACAGGGGGCGCTCTTGTCAGTGTGTAGGAGGAAAGGCATAGTTACTAAGTCCCTTTTTATATAAAAATCACTTACAGTATAAAAATTTAAGCGTATTATATAATATATGTTGAATGTACTATAAGTCTGAAATGCTTTGATCATAGCGGAGAGGATTTTGGAACTAGGAAGCTCTGATTAAAACCTGCCAAACCTAAAACGAAAAATCCCATGTCTAGACCAGAAAAAAATACGGTAAATCTGTCGGCCGGAAAGTCCATTCCATTGGTTATAAAACTGAGGGCGTCATCCTTGCGGCTTTTGATTGCAAAATTGTGATAGCAAAATGTGGATGCAGTTAAAGGACGCCTCTGGATAACATTGAATTTGCTACATACTGTTTACCATTCTAGAAGAGAATACCTTCACGTAACATTTGCAATAGACATTCGAAAAAGCAGCATAATTAATGAAAAAAATATTTTAAAAACTATGATAGTGTCTGAATTGTGTAATTTTTCTTAATGTGTCAATTTTATCAGGGTTCTAAAAATTGTATTCTGTTGGGCTGATATGCAAGTTGCAAATAAAATTTAGTATTTAATGTAAGAACAAAACGCATAACAGCAATCTTCAACGCATAACGATTCTTTTAGAACAATTTTTTACATCATTTAATTATATAATTATTGGCTTATGAATGAAATTTAAACAAATATTATTTATAAAAAGCTATAAACGAAAAAAAGCTGAAAGAAAAAAAAAAAAAATACAGATTTCAGAAAAATTAGAATATCAAAATTGAAAGTGATCTCCATAAACAATATCCTTAATTTTATGGATAAAAATTATATATCATTTAAAATTTATCATTTTAAAGTTATTTACAGAGATTAATTAAAAGTATCTTTTCATATATTAGCAAAAACTCTTTATTTGAAACTTTACCCCAATTTTGTGTGCAATTTACAAATATAAATATTTCACCATTCACAGTAGGTTTTAGATATGCATTAACTGTATACAGACACACATATATAACCGGAATCACACAGAACCGAAAGGCGACAGAAATAGGAAGTTAGCAGAGCTAATTTTAGACATCTTCGTATTGAACTCTGTGTCGTAAACCAAAAATAGCTTCGCAAGAGGAGAGATTAAAATAAATTGCACAAGATTTGTTGCATCGCGTGAGTTGTTGTATCCGGCATGGTCTAGTGGCTAGGATACCTGGCTCTCACCCAGGAGGCCCGGGTTCGATTCCCGGTGTCGGAAGCATTTATTTTTTTTTATAAGTATTTTTCAAAATTTAAAATTCTTAATAAGGAAATAACTTTTAAACATAATTTTTTTATTTTGTTTATGTACTATTTGAACAAACTTTTCGAAAACTATCAAATCTTTTAAATAATTATAAATATTGTGTTTATGTTCTTACTCTGAAAAATAGTCAAATTAGGTAATTTGAAGGTCAAGAATTCAAAAGTAAATAAATGAAATAAATAATAATAATAATAATTTGAATTATTCGTATATATCAAATAAGCATACTCTAAATTGGTATATAATGAAAGATTTTCTGTAAAATAAATCATACTAATGTCATTACAATTTGTGGTCAATTTTTTTGTATACTGTTTGGTATCTGATATACAGATTACGGAATTGTATATTGAGATCAAAAGGCAAAACACAAATATTTTTTTAATTTGTGAAATTTCAAAACCATTAAAAATAACATGCACGAGAAAATTAATTAAAGAAGAATTTTTTACCAAAAAAGATGAAACAAAAAATTCAAGCGGAATTCATAAAAATTCGAATTATTCAAACTATTTAGTATATCAAATATGTGTATGCAATAAAGAAAATTTTAATCATTTTCAGTTCTTAACTAATTTGTGGGGGGAGGATGAATTTATATAAGGCATTTCGCTTTTCCTCTGAATATTATTATTATTATTATTTCGAATTTGTTTTTCAATCTTGAAAGTTTATTTTATTGATTATCTTTTAGAAAAAATAAAAGTTTTGCTCGGTTTTGTGATTTATTGATTGATAGTTAAAAACTTCGCTTTTTGTCCCGCCATTTCGAAATTTAAACTTCTGCTATCTGTAGTTCAAATGTTGAAAAAAAGGAATTTTTTAAAAAATGAAAATCATCTTTTATTCTAAAAAAAAAAAATTATTCTGAAAGAAACGGAATAAATTTTAGAAATTAGTCTTTTAATTCATTCACAATAATAAAATTATTCCACAAACTTTCCTTATCAAATTGATAATTATTATCTGTAAATATTCTTTTCATTTACAGATAATGACAACAAACAACCGAATCCGGCATGGTCTAGTGGCTAGGATACCCTGGCTCTCACCCAGGAGGCCCGGGTTCAATTCCCGGTGTCGGAATCAGTTTTTTTTTAAAACTTTGAATGTACTTTTTTTCAATTTAATTTGGGCTCATTATTATTATTATTTTTTTTACCTTTTATTAAATGTAACAGCCTTTTCTATACACCTAAAATTTAAACTTATATTTTATTACTATTATTATTATTATTATATACTGAACCACCACAATGTAAGGAAAAAAAAAGTAATTCAAAGTAATTTTGTAGAATTACAGACTACTTAAAACACTTACTTTTAAATAGGTAAAAGAGAGAGAGAAAAAAACGGTTTAGATGCATAAATATTTTTTTCTAAATGTTCAATATTTAAAATTTCACCATTTTTGCTAAACGATTTTAAAAGTTGTAGTATTTGAAATACTGTTTCTCTTATTTCAAATTATTTATTTACACTTACATGTAAAAAATAAGATAGGTTTATAAAAAATATGGATAATTTATAATCCTGTAGTAATTTTTACAAAAATATTTTGCTCAGCTTATTGAAAGTTGAAAATAGATTAGATTTATTTTGTCTACCCATGCTATCAACTATTTTTAACAACTTCGATTTGGCCTATCAGATCATTTTCTACTGATACGAAGATTGCCATTTATGTATCCCGAACTGGTAACATGCGACACAACCGTCGTAAAGTATGACATTTTTTACTTAAACTAATCCAGAACGTTTTTGTCATGCGGACGCCATTTTTTGTCGTTTACAACAAACAAACTAACTTGTGGACATTTTCGTGTGATTATTTATTACGACATTATTATTTCAACAGCATCAACTGTACTCTGCATCGTCCATACTGTCTCCAACCTAACTTCATCTATAAGTTTATTACTTTACCCATCGCCTTACAACAACAATGTCTCCAGCTCCTCAGAAAGACGTCTTTCAAGAATTTGCATCCACGCTCATCTTCAACTCTCGGTACTCTGCTTATCGTATGGGAGAAAACCCGGAAAACTCCCACCAGGCAATCTTACTAATGAGGCAAGATGCTAAACCTCAAACGCCATTCATAATTTTTGTTTCTGATATGGCTGGTTTCTATTGTACCTCTAATATTTTTGCAATAGTAAAAACAACCTATTGATTCATTATTTATAACAAAAATATTTTTGCAAACCTCTATACTAACAATGGAAAAAAAAAGCTTATCTCTTTGATATAAAAGAGTTAATAAGCTTTTATATTCTGAAGCCGGAACTCTGAGTCATTTTTACTAATTTATCGATATTCCTGCTATGATACATAAAGTGTTGTCTTTTTGTAATATGCAAAAATAAATATAAAAATAAAATTCATCAAAGCTATTTGTAACTGGTTCAAATTATAATAAAAAAAAAAAAAAAGTTTATATAGAACACATTCATGGATAACTCAAAAAAAAAGTAAATAAAATAAAATAAAATAAATATATCACTTTTATATGATTAATTGAACCGTTTATGTATGATTGAATCAAATGTATTATGTAATTGAATCGTCAAAGCGATATACTGTTTGTGTACTGATAACGCGGAGTTTCAAACGAATCCGGCATGGTCTAGTGGCTGGGGATACCTGGCTCTCACCCAGGAGGCCCGGGTTCAATTCCCGGTGTCGGAATAATGTTTTTGCAGTAGTAACTTTCATGTACTATTTGATTTCATTTTGGGGTTATTTATTATTTTTTTTTACCTTTTACATAAAATATATTTGTATTCTTTTTTGTGCACCTAAAACTTTTATGTGATTTTCTTTTACTAAAATTCAAGCATTTCGTTTCATTTTCCCCAATTACTCAAAAATTTTTTAAATCATAATTCAAGAAAATTTTGTAGAGCTGTCTGAGTTTAAGAATTTCCTTTTAAAGGTATTAAATTGACTAATGAGGGAAAGTTATTACATATTACTCAATGCGCTTACTTTTAGACAGGTAAAAAAAAAAAAAAAAAAAAAGGTTTGGAAAGAGAGAAAAAAAAAAAAAAAAAAAAAAAAAACCTATTATTTTGCTGAACGGTTTTAAAACAAAGTTGTAGTATTTTTAAAAACTATTTGTCTTATTTCAAATTATTTATTTGCAGTAATTATTTATTCAAAGTTGAAAATTTATTTTGTCTGCTTTATGCAATCAACTATTTTTAAGAACGTCGAATCTGGTCTATCAGATAATATATCCCGAACTAGTAACATATGACACAACTGTTGTAGAGTATGGCATTTTTTAATTAAACTGATACAGAGCGTTTTTGCCATGCGGACGACATTTTTGATACTTACAGAAACTTGAAATTTTTGTGCTGATCAAAAAATGGAGTTCTTGTAGACATTTTCGTGTGATAATTTATTATTACGACTTTCGATGTTCATTTGCTTATATCTAATTTTATTATAATAAATCTAATGTTTATGATTGTAATTTTCCTGTTTATTAATTCCTGCAGACATTACACACACTGCGCTGATTGTCGTTTAGGTATAATTTTAACTTCCTGGGTTAAATATCAAAGAACACAACGCAATTAATTCCCTAATAGTATCTGATTTGTTTTGCTTTAGATTCGAAATTATAGGTAATAGTATAAATAGTTAAATTACTAGATATAACACGACAGATTATCTCAACAACATCACTTGTGCTGTGCATCAACTCTGCAACATTTTCTGTCACCAAACTAACTTCATCTACAAGTTTATTATAATTTTTTATTAATTACACCTGCCGGACTTCACCGACTTCAACAACAACATTAACTAGTTGATATCCTCTTTACCCATCACCTTACGAACAACAATGTCTCTCTAGCTCCTCCTACAACGACGTGGCAACTGACAACTGGCGTACCGATTACATAGTACCAATGGGGATAGATCCTTAACCTCCTCATCTTAATTCAATTCCTTCTATTAGCTTACACTCTCCTATATATATCTTCTTCAAATTTTCAAATCGTTCATAAATATTTTTATTTCATCCACCAAGTTCAAATACATTTTTTGAACTTGTAGTGGATGATACTGGATGTTAATACAGTTTTTTTCGAATATTAATTCAGTAATTAAATTTAATTAATGAATTTTTTAGTTTTTTTAGATTTACGTTGCATGCATCTACTAATAGATGGCGCCAGATAAACTTAAAAAATGAATGAAAATTATTTATAAAAAACTTTCTTCAATAGAGTGAAAAAAAGTAGAATTGACTTAAAAAAAAGTTTTTTTTATATCATACTTGTTCATAGATATGATTACAATTTTAATTGGCTGCTTAATTGTTAGTAAATAAAAAATTACAAGATAAAATTTCTAAATTAAATAAATGGTACTCACAAAAGTTAAAAATACTAAAAATAGATAAAAGTAAAATACAAAATAATAAAATTAAAAAATTAAAAAATAAAGGAATTTAAGTTAAGTTTAAATTCGGTACAATTAGGGACCATGCCACAAGACTATTGAAAAATGTAAACAATGCAGTGAAAGGGTTATGCTGAACGGTGGGAGCCATGGTGAAGAATCGGAAAAGCAATGATTATAATCCCCCTCCTCCACCAAAAAAAAAGAACGACGTCTTCAAAGAATTTGCATCCATCCTCATCTTCACCTCGGTAGTCTGCGTATTGTATGGGAGAAAACCCGGAAAACTCCCACCAGGCAATCTAACTAATGAGGCAAGATGCTGAACATCACAAACGCCATCGAGTCTTCTCGTCTGTGAAACAGTGTCTACAACAATGCTGTCAACGGCGCATACTATCACTGAGCCACGAGCCAGGCAAAAAAAAAAAAAAATAATAATAATAAATAAATAAATAATGTTTAATTGTATAATTAAGTAAAATATTAAGGGTATAGGCAATAATTCTCAGTAAACCATACTAAAGTTGTTATTCATATCTATCTTACTAGCACATATTTTTCTTTAAATATCAAACATTTCTACAACGATATTTAAATAGATTAAAAATTTATTTCATTATTATTTTTTTGTGTGTGTGAATGTTTCTGCTTCTGAAAATAGTAATTTAATTTGCTAATTTGAAATCAAGAGTATTAAAAAAAATGATCCAAAATCAGCCAAGTTTAACAACTTAAATTATCATAGTTTCAACATTAATTATATCCTCATCAAATTAAGTTTTTCACAATTTAAGTATCTACTGCCAGAATTATTTATTCCTCTAAAATAATGTCGTGTACTAGTGTATTTTGTTTATCAATGCTGTTAATAGCACATAAAATTTTTGCTATTATAATAGCAAAAGACAAACTCGTAGCAATATATTTCATTTAAAACAAGTAATATAAAACAAATTTTTTAAAGTCAATTCTAATTTTTTTTTCACTATATTGCAGAAAATCTGTTGGTATATATATATGCAACTTAAATCTAAAAAAAAAAAAATAAAATTAATTAATTAAATTTAATTATTGAATTAATATTTGAAAAAACTGCATTAACATCCAGCGTCATCCACTACAAGTTCAAAAAAAAAAAAATGTATTTGAACTTGAGGGGATGAACAAATGTATTTTATTAACAATTGAAAATTTGAACAAGATATATATAGAGAGAGTGTGAGCTAATAGAAGGAATTGAAAAAATGTGTAGTAGTTTCAAATTATGATGAAAAAAGAAAGAATAATTTGTCAAAATGCTTAACGTCTGTCGAATCCGGCATGGTCTAGTGGCTAGGATACCTGGCTCTCACCCAGGGAGGCCCGGGTTCAATTCCCGGTGTCGGAAATGCCCTTTTTTTCGATAGATACTTGCTTTCCTTTTAGTTTTAAATTATTTTTTTTTCTAATTTTAATTAAAAATCATTTGTAAATAAAATAATAAGATATTTTATTCGTTGCGTGTTTAAAATTACTAAATCATTGTTTTATTTCTAATTAATTTTAATAATAACATGCAATATTTAATAATAATTAATAATTTATTTTATTTAATAATAATTTATTATTATTAATTTTTATTTCGTGCAATATTTTAAAAACTAATTTAGATTATTCAAAATATGTTGCGTTAAGTTATTAAAAGAAGGAAGTTGAGTTTGCAGATTTCATTTCCACTACAATAGAGGCATGGATTCTGTATTATTTTTTCCTTATCCCCTTGTAACTGTTATAAAATATTTTTTAAGGATAACAAATATTAATAATAAAATTTATAGTAATCATATATTTTCACGGCTTCTTTGAATGTGTTAATTATGATACAATCCGTCATAAATCAAAAATGAAATATTTCATTTAATTTAAAATTCCTTAGAGAAATTTTCTCTCATTTCTGTCTTTTAAACGATTTGTAGTACCTTTATTTAAAAACATAACGTTTTCGGTGCTTTTATAAAATATGGGCGGCACGTTATATCATCTTAAACAAATAAAATGTTAACAATAACTACGTAAAAAGAATTGTCGGAAAATATGAATTTGAATATCACGACTTCAAAAATATTATTAACTACTATATTCATCATCATCAGTGGCGCAACAGCCCCACGGTGGGCCAAAAGCTGTCTGCCTAGGGGCATATTTCGAGACAGTAGATGGTTTCTCTTTACGGGTAGGATTATCAGCCCTACGCCCAACGGTCGATTAGACCGGGACCTACGATTTACAGTGGATTCCGAGCTACTACAAACATACATGGCACCACCGTGACTCGTACCTGAATCCTGCGGCACCGAGCGACAGTCACTCGGCCAACAGCCCAACTGCTATACTCATCATCATCATCATCATTATCATCAGTGGCGCAACAGTCCAATGGTGGGCCAAGACCTTCTGCTTGCTGGCAGATTTCTGAACATTAGATTTTAGTTTTCTCTTCGCGGTATAGGATTGTCAGCCCTACGCCCAACGCTCTATGTTCAGATTAGATCGGGACCTACGTTTTAAAGTCGATTCCCAACCATTACAAATATCCATGGCACCGCCTGACTCGAACCCGAAACCTGGGGCACCGAGCGTCAGAGTGCTAGTGAGACCACTATATTACTAGTAAAAATTCCCAATTTAAAAAAAAATGAAAAGGTAGGTATCATAACAAGATATTTATATACAAGACATTGTTACAAAGGAACGTTCGTAATTGATGTTTATGCTAGGGTACGTTTTGTTGCACCTCTAAATAGTTTTACAATAATAAACAATCACCCATTGGTCCATTATTAATATTAAAACATCTTTTGCGGACATCCATGCTAGCAATGAAAAAAGAAGCTTATCTCGTTGATACAAAAAGAGTTAATAACTTTTATATTCTGAAGCCTAGAACTGTGGGTTATTTCTGCTAATTTAGCTATATTCCTGCTATCATGCGTACATAATGTGTTGTCTTTCTGTAATATGCAAAAAGTAAATATGAAAATTAAATTCATCAAGAAATTTGTAATTTGTTCAGATTATAATAAAAAAGTTTATGTAAAATACATCTATCGGTAACAGAAATAATAATAATATTAAATAAAATCAAAAAATGAAAATTACATAACAGTGAAAATAATGTAACACTTTTATATCAAATTATTTAATTGAATCGTGAAAAAGAAATAGACAGTTTGTTTACTGATAACGCGGAGCTTCAAACGAATCCGGCATGGTCTAGTGGCTAGGAT